AGGCACTCCTGACTGTCACATTCACCTGGCTAGTCATTCTTCCATCAGGGCTCCCCTTTCTCCTTAATCACTCCTGAAATTTGGGTCAGGCCTCTTCTTTCCAGTGGACAATAATGGCTCTCCTCCTCAGTGCTGAGCTTCTGGAGCTGCTGCTGCTGCTGCTGCTGCTGCGTTGGTTGTTTTGCATTTCATGGGGGTTCAGCTGCTCCTCATCTTCTCAGTTTCCCATCTCCCAAGTGGTCCCAACTGGAGGTTTGGCCATCTGGGATTTGGGTTTTCCCAAGAACAGAGGAACCAAGGAGGCTTCTTCCTGGTGTACAGGCCCAAGAGCGTCACTTTGCACAACTGTGTTATTCTGACCCTACCTGTAGTGATATCATCACAATATCTATAGCAATATCATCGTTATTTCTCAGTTTTGCAGTCTCCCAGGGATTACCAAATGGACCATCAATGATTAATAGTCTATCCAAGAATCCAGGAATCAGCAAGGCATTGCTCAGTCATGTGCTGCACCCCAAAAGAAGGAAGGAAGGAAGGAAGGAAGGAAGGAAGGAAGGAAGGAAGGAAGGAAGGAAGGAAGGAAGGAAGGAAGGAAGGAAGGAAGGAAGGAAGGAAGGAAGGAGCCAGCATGGCCTTGTGGTTTGAGTGTTGGACTTGGACTCTGGAGACCAGGGTTCGATTCCCAGCACAGCCATGAAACCCATTGGGTGACCTTGGGCAAGTCACATATTCTCAGCCTCGGGCAATAGGAAACCTCCTCTGAACAAATCTAACCAAGAAAACCTCATGATAGGGTTGCCTTAGGGTTGCCATAATTTGGAAATGAAGGCACACAACAACAATGGCACCAAGGATGGAAGGAAGGAAGGGCAGACCTGGGGGTGGGAGGGGTTAGGGGGCTCAAAAACTCCCTTGAGGGCCCCATAGAGTCCATGGGCAACTCTCACACCTCTCAGTATAAAACTGAATTGAGATGGAGGAGGGGGAGGGAAGAGCTCCACTTTGGGGGGACCTCTCAGCCCACCGATTCAAAATGCATGTGGAGGAACCTCTGGCAGCCTTTGGGTGCAGATGTGGAGGTGGAGGCTCCCATTTGGCCCCTGCCTCCTTCTGGGGTCCCTTGGGGCCCCTTCCCTCCCTGCTCCCACCAAACAAAGAAGAAGGACGGAGCTGCCTCCTGACCATTCCTGTCCGTCTCCCTAGAAAGGTCTGTAAAAACAAACCTTGTCCAAGCAGGCGATGAGAGCCTTCCTCCCTCCAGGGCCACAGCAGGACACCCTCATTAGCAAATAATTGGGAGTTTGACATGATAGATACCGATTGAGATATAGTCCTGTGAAAAGCTATAACCCCGATGCCTCTTGGTGGGTTATCACTGCTGTCGTTCAGTGCTAAACGAAATCCCAAAAGGACTGCTTTGTCCTCCTTCCACCCGGTTGCCCTCCAGAGTCCCTTGGGAGCCCCTTTTCCCAGAAAGCCGGAAACCTCCCCTTTGTCCAGCTGTTCCTCCTCAGGCTTTGCTGGAAAGTGGGTGGCCAGCTGGAGGGAGGTGGGATGGGAGGGAGAACAGATCAGTGTCCTCCCGTCCTCCAGCCCCAGGTCTTCCCAGTGGCCAGACTGGGCAGGTCCTGGGTCCCATGGGGAGGAGAAACCTGCTTTGAAGGTGGCACCTACCCACCTCTTCCTTGGGGTTTTAAAATTTTTTTTAGAACCTAAATGGATCCTGTCCAATGAAGTCCCGGGGGGGCTGCCCCTTGTCACTTGCCCACAACCCTCTGTCCCTCCTCCTTTGCAGAGCCCTGGACCTCTGGGCCTGAAATGCCCCAACTGAGCAACCTTCAATGGAGCCAGGGTAAGGGTCTTCCAGTGCAAGTCCTTGCAGGATGGGACCTCTGGCTGCTGGAGTCCTCCTGCCTCCAAAGTCTTTGCAAGACCTGGCCTGAGCCACCAGAGTCCTGGAAGGACCAAGGCTACCCAACAGACACAGCTGGCTCTGCTCATGCATGGCAACTGGAGCAGCTGGAGGTAACAATAGCAATAGCAAGTACATTTCTATGGCACTTATCAGTGCACTTAAGCACTCCCTAAGTAGTTTACAAATGTGTAAGCTAATTGCCCCCAACAAGCTGGGCACTCATTTTAGTGACTTACAAAAGGATGCAAGGCTGAGTCGACCCTGAGCCCCTGGCTGGGCTTGAACTCACAACCTTGCGCTTTTGTGAGTGAGTGGTTGCAGTACAGGCATTGAACCACTGAGCCCCCAGAGGCCAATGCAGCCCAGGTCCAGCCATTTAAGGTATGCATTGCCCTCTCCACTCTGGCCACAGCAACACGGTCTTCTGTGCTGCCTGTAGCCACTCTGTTTGCGTTCTGCCTTGTCCTGCTAGTCTGGCCATACTGACCCCTCAGTCTGTCTCCTGCCTCGGCCTCCTGCCTCTGGCCCCTTGGGCTCCTGGACTTCTGCCTAGGCCTCTGTCTGCCTCCTCCTGACTTCGCCTCCTGCCTCTGGCCCACCGGACTATCTGCGTTCACCATCCACGGTCTCAGCTGAGGGTCCAGGCCTCAGACCCTGACACTGGCCTGAAAGGGCTGCAGAGCCAGAGAGACCCAAGAGCGGCTGCACACGGCAGCCCCTCCACATCCGCTGCCAGCAGAATCGGAGAAAAGGATGG